TTTAATTTCATCTTGGCTTCCTTGTATTTGTCGGTGTAAGTTTTTCTCATCTCCAGATTTTTTTGTCATCACCTCTTTAACAGATTTAACACCATATGTCTCTAAAGCTTCGTCGTATGCTAGATAATGCCCTTCACGTGTAATATTAATAGATGGTACTTGATATAGTCATTTTTGAAGTTGTGTGTTTTTATGTAATTTTCCTAAAAAAATAGCGACTGATTCTGCATATCTAAATTTGCCAGTAACCGGAAAAAGTGGTGCAAATGCAGCGAGACATGCAATTTGCAAATCGAAATTTCCTCTTCGAATTCCAATTTTGTGTGCTTTCCAATAACCTGCCCACCGATAATAATTTAACCAAACTTTCAAAATATTATTAGACCCATTTTTAATGTCATCAATAGTTTTATTCGTATCTTGTAGATGACGGCGAATTGCAATTCCGACTGCTGCCCAGATTAGCTCAAGAACTGTACATGTTGCACAATAATCCGAACCTTTCTCTAAATTCTCTAAATATCGAACACCAAGCTGCAATGCCATATTAAAAATTCCATAACCAGAAAAGGCTGCAAGTAAGGCTTGGCACATGTCTTTTGAAGTGTGCCACTGTCCAAGAATAATATTAGCGGTAAGATCTTTATTTTCATAATTTTTAAGTCTTCGAAAAATAGCTTCATCACATGCAATATCGATTATATTAACTCCTGTATTTGCTACATCATTTAAAAACATATCGCATGTCTCATATGCATTTTTATTGGAATTTGGTGCCGGACCGGGTTTTAGAATTACTATCTTTGGTTTATCAAATTTGCATCCTATTTCAACGGTTTCAATAACCTTTTGATGAATATCACTAATATCAAATTTATTTTTCTTTTCCAAAAGCAGTTCTTCAAAAATTCGATCATAATTTTTATTTAGATTATCTGTAACCATTGATAACCCAATTGTAACTTGGCTCGATTGTTCAGAAAAAAAGACTGAAGGATTATCAGGCAAATTTGGAGGAAGTTTAAACTGGAATGTGATTCGTAGAGTAG